GATTATATAAAAGTTACCATTAATTTATTGATCTTATGAGAAAACGTATTTCAGTGAATGCACACAGTGCAGATTTAAAAGTCTTTTATCATATAAGGATTTTGATAAATATTTCGAATATGAATATCTTAGTTGTCCTGGTTCTAGGTTTGAAAGGAAAAAGAAGATATAACTACTGGATTTTTATATATTATTCTACTAATAGATGTGTGACAATGTATTTTTGTTTTCATTTCTTGTAAATTGTGCAAAAATGATAATTTTGTTCTCAGCAAAAATTTATAGAAAATGAACAAAATTTAACATAAAAGAACGTGTCTTTGATGAAAGTCGGGGTAAGATATTTGATTTCTATTTAGTCGTAATCATCAAAAATCCTTCTAATGCATCTTTTGTATAGATTTCAATTTAACATTTATTATTAGCAACCGAATACGAATGAAAATATTTTCATGAATTTATCTTACAGAAGAAATATAATATAACTAAATTGTGACCAATGATGGAGTCAGAGAAGACAAGGAGAAACTGAAGCCTAACTTTTGGATCCCTAGCGAAATTTTTTATATGTATATTTTATTTGTTAGAGAGGAATCAAAATTCTATATAGAAGACTGATCTTTCTAGTCCAAAATCGGAGGAGAGTTGAGTCTTTTGACTGAAAATCCTAGTTTCACTACTAATTCTAACGTTGACATTTGTATAATAAAGACAATGGAGAGCAATTAAAACTGCTTAGCTAAAAAAATTAATTGGTCAATACACCCGATAAAGATTTTTTTCTTCTTTTCAGTTAGTTAAATTTCTTTATATATTGTACATTTGTTTTCATAAAAAGCTTTATAATTATTATTAAATTGTCGAAAACAAATTAAACATTAACCAAAGTGAATATCTAGATGAAAATGAAATCTTTTACTATTACATTCCATAAAAAACTGGTTACTTTGTCATGAATCTTGTTCATTTTCTATAAATCTTTTTTTTGAGAAAAAAATGATCATTTTTGGATATTTTACAAGAAGTAAAAAAAAAAGCACTATGATACACTAAGACGTAACATGGAAAAAATTCGTTTTTCTCTTTTGTTTTCAAACGTAAATGAGGCCAATTAAAATATTCATATTCGAGATATTTATAGAGACCCTTATAGGATAAAATGCCTGTAAACTCACTCTGTGTCAGTACACTCCTATATGTTTGCTCATTAATCTATGTTTATATGATATATGTACATAAATTTTAAAAGTTAATTAGAATCTTTTCGAAAGACAAATTTTGAATTCTGTATAAATAATTATCTATCGATTTGACTGTAAATAAATAATAAATCAAAAGTATATTATAGATTTTTTTTTGTATGTTCATGTTTGACATCAAATTAATGTTTGACCAATAAAATGCGCATTGCTTTTCTAATATAAAATATAATTTTTGAATCTCTATGTTAGTTTAAAAGAATAGTTTTCATCATTTGTTTTTATTATATATGTAATATATGAAATATTCGGAATAGAAATAAAAACGATGTTCTACTTTTCTAAAGAATTTTACAGATATTTTTATTGCTTAAGTTCTATGATAGTAGAAAAGATAATAATGAAGAAGTCAATCAATAAACTCTTCTCCACATATATGATAACATACTATAATTATCATATTTCTTTTTCATTATGAAACACGAAATTTTTAGAATTATATTAACATGTTTTTATTTTTAGCACAATATGTTTCATATGATTGTTTATTTTTAATGTAATTATATTCATTTCTATGCATTTTTCATGAAGTTTTGTTTTTTTTTTCATTATGTAATACTCATATTATTTTTTTGTAGTCGATCTTTAGTGTTTGAACGACTTTTTCTCTCATTAGACATCGAACGTGACTAAAATATCTCATCTATGATAATCATATAAAAAGTTCTACTATTTTACACTTAGCAATTACGATAATATCTTGAGGGTGAGGGTAAGTTATTATAATATTTATTCCAAGCACCTTACGACGTTTCGTCCTTGCTTAATGGACCCATCAGATGGCTTTATTTGTAATAGTAGGATCTATCGTAATTATCCGAAGATAATTGATAACAGTTTTATATACAATTAGATCGATGCACTATTTCCGAAGAAGTAGTAATATCGATAACTTTATAATAGGAGTGAGTATTACAGCTGGTCGTGATCGCGATTTCATCCTTGCTTAAGGACTCATCAAAAGGCTTGAATTGTAGGCGGAGTTAGATTTTATTCAAATGAACGAAGAAATCACGAATAAGAGATCTTATCATACAGTGGACATGAAAAGACACAAAAACTTCTACGAATGCAGAAGTAATGTTGAATAACTTTTTCACAGTGATGAGCCTAAGCGAACTACGACGCGTTTCGACCTAGGGTATGGGTGTGGGTGTTGGTATGGGTGCGTGGGTGTGGCATTTTATTCAGCTTTACTATCATACACACCCACACCCTTACTTTTCATCGAGAAATACCATAAAAGTTGATTTTCGATTGTGATGAGTATGTATGCGCATGTTATTTTTTATCAAGTAGAAACAGAGAAAGAAAAAATAGTGTTGTTCCGATCTTTCTTCCGAGAACGATAACTTTCGCCTACTGATTATGATCTTTTGTTCACGAAAAAAAAAGGCAGCAGGCAAAGTCGTATTTTTAGTAATTAGAACACAACGATTAAATTCCATAAATGATGGAAGCCAAGCTATAGTAAAGTGTCTTTTACCATAAGCTACTCAATGCAAAATCTCTGTCACAAATACCATATCTCAAATAAAGAAGCTGTTATGACTTGAATGATTTGCAAACAAATGCTATATATTAAAAAAAGTACCGACAGTAGGGTAATTCAGATTTGAATGCCTAAAGATATATTGATTCTTGCAGATAAAATTCGAAAAGACTTCTACAATATATATTTACTTGTCTGTACGGTATGGATAGAAAGTAACACGATAACTTCAATATCATGCATATCGCATCGAAAATCAAAAGACTTTATTCTCATTTCAAAAAATGTTTATCTCTATTTTCAATTCCCAAGAGAAGAATGATTCTAAAGTATTCCTATATTTTAAATACAACAAATTTTGTAAAGACCTGTTGCATTAGATTTTAGGTTCGTCTTTTATTTAAACTTTGCAAAAGTAAATTTATGGGCGTCGCTTTCAAAGACTTGATTAAGCATAAAACTAAAAGTTTATGTTATTTTGTTTCAAAATAAGTTTCAAGTCTGAGTCGCATTAACCTAGCATGCTATATAATTATTTGTTTCCAATTAAATAGAAATCTTACATATTTGAACTAGTTATTGAACTTCGAGAGAATGTAGTTATTATTCAATCATCAAGAATACATAATCTATAAAATTTTCTCATTATTTTTTTTTTTGATAGAACATAGTTAAAAAAAGGGTGCAGGTGTGAAGGAGGATATGGCTATGGGTGTGGGTGTGGGATGTGGGTGAGAGTGAGTACGTTCTGTTCCGTGCATACCGCTACAGCCCACACCCACATCCTTCTATATGTTATCCGTATTAAATTTCTCCAATCTCAAAGAATCGATATAATAATATATAAAATGATAAATTTTTCTTTATCCTATATTGATAAATGTTAGAGAGAATCACTTTACAATCTTAATAATCACTTTCATTTTTGACAATAGGCATTAACTCTACTACGGTTGGATCAGAAACAGATTGGAGACCAAGGAGCGCAAAGTTTGAGTGATGCATTAAAAGTCAATAAACAAAGATAGTTTTCAGACTGATATCAATAGAAAAAGATGCCTTACTTAGTCATTAAAACTCTTTGATGAATTGTTAATAATCAAAAACCGAATCCGAGTGTATAGTGGAAAGATTTTCGAAGTCAAGTTATCAACGCTTTATTTACTCACAGTAAAATTATTAGAAAAATGTTGGTTTTCTGTCCATAGGATCTAAAATAATCATAACCGAACTTGCGAAACAACTATCTTCTGTTTTGTTAAGAATATTTTATAGTCATATTTCAAAATTTCAATAAAATCGTATTTTCCTTTTCGATACATCTGAGAAAATTTTGACCTTCAATTCATGTAAAATGTAATAAACATTTAATATCTTTAACGAGGCTAATTTTCTTCGAATTCTAATAAACATTCTCGTATGCGTGCGAGTGTGGGTGGATGAGTGTTGGTGTGTGGATATTCCATTCTCTTACAACACCCACACCCCACACCCTACTTGTGGATCAAGATAGCATCCACACTCTCATTCTGATTTTATTTCACTTGTGCTTGTAGCTGGTGGCGCCAAAATACGGGAGTTCATAAAAAAATGAAATGGTTTAAAAATCAATTGAGACCAAAGGAGAATCGTAATGCCGAACCAATAGGATTGAGTCTTGTTAAAACATAGATGGATTCTTTTTCTCTTGAAAAGAGTAGTGTCACATATCCAAGATTTTGGAGATGCCACCACATCTCCCGTGGGAGATGCCGCGTCTCCAGCGGGAGACGCGACACCCACACTCGAGAGATGTGGTCATTCACCACTGGAGATGTAAGATCTCCTTTAGAGAAGCGCATCCCCCACACCCACATCCGCATCTCTCGCGCGAGATGCGGCATCTCCCGCGGAAGACGTGGTGACATCTCCAAAATCTTGGATATGTGGCACTGCTGAATAAAACACCCAGTTCATTTGTCGCAAATTTCGTAACCTTCATCTGAGCTAGTAAAAAAAAATTGTAGAAAAATTCTCGTTCAAATTTGAAACTGTCAACAATCTGCATTCTATGAAATATTTCATTTTGTATTCTTTAGATTTCCTATTTGTGAGAATTTGATAGATGTGATATACCTGAACAGTTATATAATAGAGAAAAAAAAAGCATCATGAAGATAGAAACAAACTAATATTATTTAGAATGTATATATATATATTTTTTTTTTTTTTCATTTGAAACTTCTGAATATCTAGATAATAGTATAAATATGAATAGAAGATTCAGATGTGGTCGTTTGGCTTTAACTAGAGATGGTATTATAAAAAAAATTGAACTTGAAGATGGTGGTGGCAGTCGTTTTTGTAAATGGGATCCAATTGATATTGATTTCGAAACTATTCATCGTAATCTTATTGAAATTTTTAAATTAGGTAAAATGAAAATGAAAAAAATAAAACAGAATTTAAATAAATTTAATATTTAAAATTTTTCTTAATCAATATTAAAGGAGAATATAAATTAAAAACATCATTATATGATTTTCGACGTAATCCATTAGATATTAATCAATATAATACATTTTTCGAATATGTTAATAAAAATGGACTTAATTGTTCTAGTACTATAATATATCTTTGTACTCATCAAGGTATTTATTCTGATTAAATATTCATACAACTTATTTTAATATCCTTTAGCTGATGATAATGATAATCAACCAATAATGTTAAATAAAAAGAAAGAAACATTTTCTGCAAATTTATCATCATCAATGTCAAATTCATTAATATTACAACAAAAGTAAGAGAAATTTTCAATAATATAATTTGTTGTTGTTTTTCGTTGTCTAAATTTATTTTCTTTTATTAGAAAATCTATTTTAACAGAAACTACATCTTTAATAACATCTATGGATAATAAATATGTTAATAAATTTCAAAATGAATGTAATCAAAAACAACAAATAAATCAGTAAGATATTTATCTTATTATTATTATTATTTGTTTTTTTTTCTATTGAACCAAATGAATATTTTCTAGATTATCTAGTAATTACATTAATTATTATTAGTAATTTATTTAATAAAAAATCTTTTATATTTAGCATATTCATTTGAAAAATCTATTAATGATTTAATTGATACTATTCGAAATTTGATTAATCAAAATGCTTTTGATTTAGTTTTAATAGAATTATTTAAGCATATTTGTATGATTAAAGGGTATGTTTGTTCAATTATTAATACATTAAATCAAAAAATAGATCACATTATTCAAAATTATCAATTAATAAATCAATCAGAAATAAAATTATATTCAAAAACTTTAAATGAAATTTCTAATATTTGTCAATCAGTGGAAATATTAATTAATTTAAATAAGAAAAAATTCGATCATATTCAACAATTTCCAATAATTATTAATTTATTCTTTGAATTTTATGAAAACTTAAAGGTATTTAAATATGTTTTAATAAAAGAAAAATAGAATATATTTTGTCAAATTTATCACAAATTTATTGTTTATTATTCAAAATCTACTAAGAAATATTTAAAAAAAATTAAATTTTAATATTTAGTAGAAATGTTCAACAAAAGAGATAGAAAAAAATTCAATGAAATGTTTCAAATGTCTTAGATATTTTTCAAATGTTGAAATTAATTTGATTTTTTATTGAAGGATTTTCTCGAAAATTAAATTAAATCTTAAGACAGAAGATGTACGAAATAGGAGTGTACATTTCACGTTCACTGTTAAAAGTGAAAGAGTGAGTTCGGCTCATGTCTTCAAGCTCATGGTCACAGTTATCAGGAAGGAACGTCTTTCGCATATCCTCACTGTTAGTATGAAAAGATGATTTTCCCTCACATTCACAATTAACACGGGTTAGTAGTTCTGTTCATGCTCACGATGAGCGTGAACGCTATGGTTGCTCATGAGCGTAAGCGTAAGCTGTACAGCCCTAGTACGAGATATAGAAGATGTTAAGATCTATATTTCATACATATCATAGAATAGATATACTGATGTAAATTTAATCGATTAATGGAATCAATGAATGTAAATAATATCAGATATTCGTTAGTTATACGATATAAGTCCATACTTAATGTTAATATTTTCGTGACATCGATGCTCTAATTTAATACTTCTGTGTGCCATCAAAATAATAATAGATAATACAAGAAACTTATTTGAAGTGTATAATTTAAGGATAATATACAAATAGATATATGAGATTTTTATTTAATCAATTGATTGTTTGTTTTTTTGTTCGCATGAAACTATTCGATGAAGAAAACAATTTAGTTGATCACATGTACAGTCAGATGAAATTTGTTTAACTATCATTGAGATATTAAATAGTTTTATATCTGCAACAGTTCTTATACAAATAGTATATATATTACTAAATCGATTGTGATAAGTATATTAAAAGTATAGAGATATAAGGCTATAGATGTTATTCTACGATTTAATTAAGTTTTCCAAAGAAATTCATATAAGACCTCAATATACATTGATTTGAGATTTTAGAATAAATGTTCAAAATAAAAATACAATAAAAAAGAAGAAATTTATTTAGTTTTCATATTTTCTATTATTTTGAAAAATATGTGTAAATCCAATATTCCCATCTTTTCAGGTCTCATGTATCAATCATCATTTGTCTATATTAATAAATCAATTATCTACATAAATCATAATACTAATCATATTCTAAAGAAAAAAGAGTAATAGTTTTTTTTTGAGGAAAATAAAACAACTCAGGTACTAAACAATTGCGTTAATTGTCATCAATAATATAAAATAGCATGAGATTTAAGAACAAATGAAGAATAATAATATGATTAATATTGTAGTTAAATCTATGGCTTAAAAACATGCATATAGGAACGAACAGATAAGATCTGAAATGGCCAAACTATTCAATTGATATGTTGTTTTTTTTAAAATAGATCAAATTTTTTTCACTGCTGTTATATTATTACTTTTACATCATATGGTAAAATTCCATTTGAATATTAGAAATTCAATAGACTTTAAAGTACAACTTAAGACATAGTATAATGAGAGTGATTCGATACATTACCCTATTATATGGATTACTACTATTGTTACCTACAATTGGAAGCCGTGTTAATTTTCAAATTGTTAACAGTTTTCATCAAACTATTGATTTCTGGTTTTTAAAGAAATCTATGAAAATGGTTAGAAAAACTGAAGTCATAGATTTTCAAAAAATATTACTGAAACACAAAAATCAAAGATTGACACATATGGTGTAGTTTTAGATTTTAGAAATAAATATGATTGGAACGAAGCTCTAAGTTTTCCATATCTGATACTATTTTAGAAATATATACAGTAAAATTAACGTCTTATGTAGCTATTAGTTTATTAAAAAAAAGAATAAACGGATCAATTTAAAAAATGAGAAACAAAATAAATACATCAAATCAGAATAAAACATAAATAAAGAATACGCGTTTCAAGCGATAATGTAGTTCAAGTGTTCTCTAAAGGCAGAGTTTATATTCACAAACACTTCTATCATAACAAAATATACTTTTATAAAAAGTGTTAGCTGGCCACGCGACGACATACATTTGTATTTTATGCACATATTTATCAAACGTCGCTAATAACAAAATAGTAATCCAATAAAAACATATAAAGATTTGTTGCAATTAGTTTCTTGGAAAGCATTATTTTCCTAAATACTCGAAATATTTCTTCGTAAATAAAAATCTTCAATAATATTTCACACGTACCTTACCATTATCCGCACCCTTACCCTCAAGATAAAGGATTCATGTATCTTTATAATTTATATTTTAAGGAATAGCAAAGAAAAAGAGTCATCATTCAGTATAAGTTCTGATTTCTGTTGAGTCTATATGAGAGAGATATATCACTATTGATATTTATTTATCGATGCATAAATTTGAACAAACTTAGTAAGTTTATAAAAATTTTCAGGAATTCAAATTTGTAATAATTCTGACACAAATTTTGAAATTTGTACCAATTTGAGATTTGACATTTTGTGTAAAATTGCATTATGAAATCTCTAAACACTAATTTCTACTTGCATTTCTAATATCTCAATATTGAGTATATTTCTTAATTCTTTACTGTTTTATCAAATTCATATTGTTTTAATATAAACTATTCCTAATAATTGTTTTCTTTAGATTTTATACAATAATTGGTTTGAGCATGTTGAAAAAAATAACAACAACAACAAATATAATACATTATCATCTTCATTGATTCGTCCAAATGAATCCATATCATCAAATTCGAATATAAAATCTTCATCAGAATATTCTAATGAGATAAATGTAGAAAATTTCAAAGAACAATTGCCAGCATCATCAAATAAATCTGAGCGGTTATTATCAATACGAAAACTATTTGATGATGAAGCTGGTACAAAATTTCTTCTATTTCGACAAGTTAGTCAAATATAAATATCAAAGTAATGTTTACCAATTTTTATTTTTTTTTCTATTTTATATAGTTATTAACTCGTTTCAATGATTTATCACGATTACTTAAAAAACATAATTTATCATCTTATTATCAAATGGTTGAATTAACAACTTCAAAAATAAAATATATACGATCACATATCGATTTATCAAATGGTCTATCAATACTTAAGGCAAGAAACGATATTTTATTAATCAGAGCGGAATATAGAGAAAAATTTAATCATAAGTATTTACAACGTAACAAATATAAAGTTGGTCAAGATGTTAAACAATTTTATATATGTCTAATGAAAACAATTCACAATGTATCGCGAAGACTTCATCGTCTTCGAATGCATGTAGAGAATAAAAAAAAAAACTTTAAGTAAAGAAGTAAATCAATCGTCAACTACTTCGTCTGTCATTACACAAAAGTAATATTAACATCAATAAACAAAAATTCATTACAATCAGAACATTGTTTTTATTCATAGTATTGATTAAAAAAAAAGTTATGTACTTCAATATTGTATTCATTGAACATTAAACTTTTTTAAACAACATCGGACAACAAAAAATAAAAACAGAACTGTTTAGATTCACATAAAGTAAAATATTGTTTTGTTTCTGCTCTCTGAAAATATGTTACTATTGTTTTTCTGTGTTTTTTTCTTTTTGATTGAGAAAAGAAAAAATAAAGATCAATATACACAGATAAAAATATTTTATTTTTCAAATATTTCAGACTTTTTTCTTTTGTTTTGTATGGGTGTGGGTGGATATTTGGATCTTATTAAAAAGATGACTAACACCCACACCCACACCCACACCCACACCCACACCCACACCCCACACCCACACCCCCACCCTGAAAACAAGTATCATGGTAAGAGTTGTTAATTCTTTATGTGCTGATTGCATTTTAGGAATGGATTATATTAATAAATACAAGGTTAATCTTAATAATAAAGACAAACAAATTCAAATTCATACATTTAACAATAAGATCACACTTCCAATGGAGAATCAAGCTGGCAGTATTAGAATGTCATATCGATTAATTAATCCAACATATATTTATCCATATCAAGAAAAACGAATTAAAATTTCTACACAAATATCGTCTGGACAACTGCTATTTTCTCCTGCTTATCATCTTATTTATAAAAAAAGATTTAATTAGTCCACATTCATCAATTTCAGTTATGAATCATGTAGCGTGGATTTCAATTTATAATCCAACATCCACAGTATGTTATTTAAAACGAAATATTATTGTCGGTGTTGCTGTTAGTCCTCACATTACTAGTGCAGTTACAACTACAGCTCAAGCAAAAGCGAAAACTAATCCACATAAATTAGTTGATACTAATCCTACTTCTTCTACAACATCATCAACAGATGATCAACCACAGAAAGTGGTTGGTCATGCTTTTGATATTTCCATTATTAGTGAAGCTCAAAAAGGTGATAAATTATATCAAGAAAAAGTTCTGGAACTTAAAAGTGGTCAAAGCAATTGTTCTTATATACTTAATCATGGAATTTTATACAAATTATTTAAACATAATACATTTATACAAAAATTGATTTATGTACCTTCAACAATTTTGTCAGAATTATTAAAGGTTTATCATGTTGCACCATGGGCTGGTCATTTTGATTTTCGTAGCACTTATTTTAAATTAAAACATAAATACTGGTGGCCAGATATGAAAACAACTATTAAGAATTATATTCAATCTTGTTCAAAATGTCAGGATTTTAATGCTAGTCGTCATCAAACTGATTTATCATCAGAAAAGCCTAAGGCTATTTATACATTTGACAAGTCAAATGATTATTTTCCACATTTTACAAGAACCTTATCTAATTATTATCAAAATTCACAAACTAATATGGATCAAAGGCAAACTTATAATCGAATATTTGATCGCAATCGTGTTAATATGTATTGCAATGTTGGTACTCAAGAATTAAAACGACTTTCCCATTCTTCTTCAAAACCATCTCCAATTTATTCGCGTCCTATGATAATTATTAAACAACAACATCCAACACAATAGGTTCCACATCGAGGTAATCAACAAGTTATCAATATGTTACATTGTCTGTTTGTTTCCTTTACAACTATCTATTTACCGGTTTATCTATTTTTGATTTTTTTTATTATTTGTGGTATCTATTTGTTTATTTTATTTTTTTGTCTTTTTCTCATTTTCAAGTTTATATCTTGTTCTATATTCTTTGTGATCGTATTATGTAACCGTCTTCGCAGTTATACGAACAGATATTGCTGTTAGATATGTTCATATAACTTTTTGTGTGGGGGGAGGTGTCAGGATCCGACATCTATATATATATATATCGATGATCGATCCTCCTTCTTATTCTATATCATCTCTTTTCTTTTTTTCTCGAGTCAGTTATTATTGTTGTTGTTTTTTTTTTTCGTTAAAAGGATTAGGTTCTTGTTGATTTTGAAAAATAAAGAAAAGGAACCTAACACCTACATTACTTTTCAATCAGTTAGTCTTCGAAAATAGGTCAAGACATTAATGATTCCTGATGTTTTTCAAGTGAAATAAAACGTCATGAAAATTGAATAAATAATTCAGTTGACGCGGTTTTTAGATCATATATTCTGTCTCTCATTTATTCATCTTTAATTCAATTTTCAAGTTATTCATTCATGTTTTAAATAAGTAAAATTCGAGTGCATCGAAATAGCAAGAAAGTTTATTATATTGATCAAGAAAAAATTTTCTATACTACAAGAAAAAACAACAGTCTTTTATTACACTAATTTGTTAGTCAATTTTTAAAGAAATTCATGTTTAATAGAAAAAGTTTAGATTTGTGCTGTACCACCATCAACAAAAAGTTCAATACCAGTTACATATGAACTATCATCTGAAGCGAGAAATACAGCTGCTTTACCAATCTCGGATGCGTAACCAAGACGATTCATAACAGACATTGATGCAAGGTAGTTCATAACTTTTTCTGAAGTTTCTTTTGTACCACCGGCAGTTCTTAACATAGGAGTATCTATGCCACCTGGACTAAGACAATTAACACGGATTTTTCGATCTTTTAAATCTACAGTCCAACAACGAGCAAACGATCGAAGAGCAGCTTTTGTTGCACTGTAAACACTTGCTCCTGGTGTACCTTTACTCCCCCATATAGATCCATTAAGAATAACTGAACCACCATCAACCAAGATAGGTAAAGCTTTTTGAACAGTAAATAATACACCTTTAACATTAACATCAAATATATCATCAAAAAGTATTTCTGGAATTGATCCTAATGGTGCAAAACCTAATATACCGGCATTTGCGAATACAATATGTAATTGTCCTTTTTCTTTTTCAATCACTTTCATGACATGGTCAATATCATCTAATTTAGCTGCATCAGCTTGAATAGCAGTAACATGTTTTTCACCGATTTGTTGGACTGCTGCATCGAGAATTTCTTTTCGACGTCCAGTAATAAAGACATAAGCGCCTTCAGCAACAAATTCTTGAGCAGTAGCAAGACCGATTCCTTCTGATCCACCAGTAATAAGAGCAACTTTACCGTCGAGTTTCCCCATATTCGTTTTAAATTTTATATGAAACAAAAATAACGGTATTGTCTCGTTATTTATATTGCTGGACGTATGATTGTTGTAACGCTCCCGCTTGAGTACACTGTATGACACAATGACCGTATTGCTTTGATATTTTCGTCCTTATACTTTGTCCTTATATCTCTTTCTTCCCATATATGGTCTTATGTTATTTTCTGTCCTTATCATTCTTTCCTTTCATATTCTTTCCTTCTCTCTGATGGATAAGTATATAAGCATATGTTTTGTATGGAAGCGATGCGATTCTTGATAGGAAGAAATATAATAAAGCGTAGTTCCATCAGCGCTAACTCTTCTTCTATCTAAAATCGTCACAATTGTCTCATCATACTCTCCCTCGGACAAAAAAAAACTATCATTTTCCATTTCACTTTTGCATCGTTTAATACGTTGTTTTAAAAAAACAAAATATACCACGAGATGCAGCGTGAAAAGAACTACAATCTATAAAGTAAAGCTTATTTTAATTGTGTACTTTTTGTTTTCAAAAAAAGCAAAATCCTGTGTGACTAATTTTCGACATTGCGAAAAAAATCATTTTTTTTTTCTATATCAACGAGAAATTCCTTTTTCCTTAATTCATCTTTTTATCAACTAATACGTTTTTGTAAAAAAAAAATAAAATCTACTAAAAGATGCAGCGTGAAAAGCTCTATAATTTCCATAGAACAATTTATTCAAATAAGAAGAAAGGAATTTGGGTGTGGGGTGTGGGTGTGGGTGTGGGTGTGGGGTGGGTGTGGGGTGTGGGTGTAAGTAAAATGAAGACTCCGACACCCACACCCTTAATATCATTTCCATCTATAAGTCTTTTTCCTCATTCACAAAATTATATTCATATTTATTTTTCAATAAATGCTATATCATTTCCTCAAAAATTACAAACAACATTAACTTATTCTATAAATGTATGTTGAAAAAACAAAAATACTTGTTATCTTCATTTTTAATAAATATATTTAGAAATTAAATACAATTGAAACAGATAGAATTGAATTTAAACTTAATTTACTTTGTTCACAATATTTACGACGAAAGACAATCGATTCGTAAGAATAGGTTTCTTTTTTATTAGGTTATTTAATATGAATATATATCTTTTTTTTTTAAAGTATGGTATTCGCTGATTTGATGAGTTCCGGTACATTGATATGTCAATCACAACTTCGTATTCCATCATATAATCAAGATTTTCTATCGATAATTAATAAAATTTGTCAATCTTATTGATTAACTGGTTAGAAAACAAAATTGAAATTTTTTTTTTATATCTAAATTTTTAATTTAGTTGTCGAAAAAATTAGTTCAGCTGCATCTTTATATGCTGAAACAATACTTGGACAACCAATAGCTCTTTTATTTAAATCAATAGTATGTCTATTATTTTAAGATTTTTTATTAAAAATCAAACTAAATAATTTTTTATTTATTTATTTAGAATTCTCAAAGTGGTATTTTAATTGATGGTAAATCAACAGAAACACATTATCTTTCTAATCTTATGGAATAAATAAAAACATCATTAAAATAATTTGTTTTACTTTATTTCATTTTTTTATTTTTATTTTTATTTTTATTTTTATTCCATAGACAACATCTATATAAAGTGAAAAGAAAAATAATAACTGACAAACAGTGATCTGTTTTTTATTTTGCATCTATTATCTTTATTTACAAAAAAAAGAAAACCAAAGAAAGAAAGAATATCTCTTATGTATCAGATAATAAGTATATTTGATCTTCTCACACGTAGAAAATAGGTTCTTTTTTTTTGTTTTGTTCTGAATGATTATAGTCAATTCTCATGTGTACGCATATTTTCTATTTTTTGTTTTTTATTTCCTATAATTCAAACATTATATATATATATATATATTGATAAAAAGAGGAAAATTAATGATAAACTATTTAATCATTCTCGATTGGTTTCAAATGATTAGAAGAAAGACATTTTTCTTTTTCGTGCAGCTTATTAAATTTCCAAATGAAATGAGTACCGATGAGCGGAATCAACCGTTTATTGTCCCGATCTTGACTAGAAAAAGTTTTTTAGCTCTGATTTCATGCTCAGTAATACATGTACTAGCGAAATGTGTAATATATAATATTCTAGTAGTGTCAATAAACTCGAGACATCTTAGACGACCTCCATGACTTCTAATATCCTATCTCTTCGAGGTTCATTATTTCTTCTAACTGATTGATGCTTCGTTGAGTCTGTTCGTTTATGTGTTCGACAACTCTGTTGTTTACGAACAAAAGAAGGATTATTTTACTATGAAAATTAGAACGGCAAATATTGCAGTAATCTTTACTCAATAATTTTCATATAAACTTAGAATACATGAGTCGCAACAACATGACATTTGACGCAAGTTTTACACGGGCATAAAAGATATCACTCACAATGAAAAAACAAATGTTGGTCGTGGTTCCGGTCCCGTATCTAGAAATGAGGTATAGAGTAGAAGCCTTCGGGTTGGCCTTAAATGCTTTACTTAATTTTGCATTATCATCTCTCAAACATCGATATAATCTGGAAAAGTCAAATCCAATAAAAAAAAACTTTTTTTTTTACTGAAAAATCACTGTGAGAAGATCCTTATTCTGTAGGGTATCCCAAAAGTTTTTCAGTACATCTTTACGATTTGATTGAATTTTATTAACTAATTTTTTTTAATGATAGGTTCATATACTGAGTTTTTAATTACACGAAAAAATTTCAAAAGCACCCTTCAAAGCTATTATCTTTAACCGAAATGCAAAAATTTAGCTTTTTTTGTATATGCAGAAAAGTATTATGCAACAATTCATTTTTAATTACTCCAATTTCTTAAATCATTCTAATTTTTAAAATGTTTAGATCTTTAATAGCTACTTTGTAGACATTCGTTTTGATATATTCTCATAAAAAGAAACTCAACAATATTAATTCTAATGATCATAAAGCTAATCAGATCAATCCATCTCTTCTAAATCATCGATTATCAAACTAATCTGTCAGACATTAGTGTACTGTCTTGGAGCAATGTGATGATGTCATATGTCGCTAAAAAAAGCACTTTGTTCAGCGGTTCTTTTTTTTCTATCAAATCAAATAAAAGAAGCTTTGGAGCATGTCGGAGTTATTTTGTTGACTAATCGTTGGATCATCAAAAAAAGGACTCGACATTCAGTTTGCTTTTTTTTTGTTGATATATAGATGTTTATTGTGCCATTTAAGTATTGGTTCACAATGTAGAAAGGATTATAGAGAAGTCGTATAATGTTGTATGACATAACACTTTTAAATTATACAATCATTTTGTTTAATTACATATAAAGAACTAGAAATTAGAAGAAGGGTAGTGAAGGATAACATATGACATGGAAATACAGTACACGAGAACAACATAGAGAAGAATATGAAATGGAAATACAGGTACACGAGAACGACAGATAGAAGAATATGGAATGGGAATACAGGTACACGAGAACGACAGAGAAAAAAAAATATGAAGTGAAATAAAACAAACTACACAGGAAAGAGTTAATGATACTTTTAGTTTACAATTTTTATAATTATCTAATAAAAAATTTTAATACAAATGCATTCAACATATTTGAAGAGGTTCTGTAATAGTCATATTGTTTGATATGGACATTATCAAATTCTATCCAGTCTATCATACAGTGTTTTGCTTGTTTTATTAGTCTGCAGGGGAATTTACTGTTCTTTCGAAAACCCATTGTTTTGAGCCATTTATTATCATCAGAAGTGATCATCAAGTATGCATTCCATCCCTGTTGGAATGCTAGTACTTCAGAAGAATTTAGTAGATGTAATGCAAGTCTGCGCCAGTAAACGAATAAATAATCACGAATAGATTTCTCTCTAGCAATCACTAAAGTAGTTAAATCATCCCATTGATGTAATTTATAAACAAGACGAATACCCGAGCAGTAGCTATGTTCGAGACGTTCCTTCTGATTTTCAGTGAAGAAGAACCAAGTAGAAAAAAGCCATAAAAAATGTGGAAGGGCATATGCTAGAAAGATTTTTCTACGGGCTCTAAGATCTTCTATCATCCCGCATCTAAAAATGCTTTCCATTGCACAATATATTTTGTTTATGGTACGTATTCTTTCATTTATATAATTATCCCAACCTATTTTGGTTGATATATATATGCCTAAATATTTAAATCTTTTTACAAACTCAATGCTTTGAGATTTATAGTAAATTTTAGGGTATGAGGGGGATACTATGCTATGAATCAGTAATGCCTTGGTTTTTGACACATTAACAGGTAGTATTAGGTCATCAGAGAATTTCTTCAGTTGTTTTAGTACAATAGCTGCTCTCAGTTCAAGCTCTCTGATATTTTCAGAGAACTTCTTTTCCAAGTCGCCAGTTAGTATAATAGCTAAATCATCAGCAAATAGGTGGATTATCAGATTGTTAAAGTAAGCTGGAAGAAAATGAATATGTAACCTAAATAGTGTTGCAGCCAGGACTGATCCTTGTGGTGCTCCTTTCTTCATTTGTACTACCCTAGACTTAGTTTCCCCAAAGTGGATACTAAAGGTTCTATTATTTAACCAATTGCATAGCCATTTGAGTATAGGTAAAGGCATATTTAGATCATGTAGATTTGTTATAAGGAAGGGTATCCACATATTATCAAATGCAGATAAGAAGTCGACAAAAATTGCTAGGGCTGGTCTGTTGTTTGCAGCAATAGTAAGTCTCAGTTCTTCTATAAGTGATACCACTCTAGTTTCTAATCTCCTTCCAGAAGAAAAACCAGATTGCTCGTCGACATATATATTATTATTTTTACACCATGAGATAATACGATTATGAATAATTCTCTCAAAGACTTTCCTTAAGTTGGGAAGTAATGATATTGGCTGTCGACGATCCGGGGTAGGATAGATTCCCTCTTTGGGAATGCAAACTATTTTTGCGTGCTTTGCAGCTGAAAAAAAGTCACCTCTCGTCGACAATTTATTAAAAAGAACAGTTATTATATTTACGTATATCTCGGGCATTCTTTTTAATAGGTAGGCTGATGTATTTGTACTATCGGCTGATTTTTTGGGGGAAATTTTCTTCCATTCATTTATTACTTCGTTCAATGTTATGCCCTCTAGTGGCATGTTGGGAAGACGGGCGATGCTTTCATACGTGGAGATACACCTCTGGCGTACTATATTGTTCATATTAGGGGTCGGTTCAGCGAAATGTTTTTCATAATGATCTGCTAATATATCAACTATTTTCCTTGGATCTTTTATTTTCTCGGAGTTTACGCTAAGGCCTCGAAAAGGAGGTGTATGTGAATGAAAGGAATTACGGGCAAATTTCCATATGTTCTGGTTTTTCAAGATCCATTCCTTTTTTTTCTCATATCTCTGATTTATTACCTTGGAGCGCTCTTCCTGAAATAATACTTTTAAGCTCAAGAAATTATTTAGGTTTGTTTTCGTTTTATTACGACGATAGCGACGTCTACTTTTATTCATTTCTCTAGCTAGAGTCACTAGGTATAGAGGCCAGGGGGGTCGGTATTTTTTAACAGGCTTATAGTTACTACTTCTATCCCAGAGACTTACAAGAAACGAAGAGAAATGATTGAAGAAAAATTGTTCATCATAATTGTAGACTAGTGTTAGCCAATATTCATACACTGCTTGTAGAAAGAAGTTGAAGATATTCCAATTTGTTACTCTAAATACATTTGAATGTGATACGCATAGGGGAGATTGTATAAGGATTGGAAAATGGTCCGATGTACCTTCATCAATTACTTCGGTGAACCAACCTGTAGCATCATGAGTTACACAAAAGTCGATAATAGCATTAGATCTACGTGATGTAGGTTTATCAGGAACAATCATATCATAGCCTGTCTGCTCAAGCCATTCAACAACATGACTTCCACTTGCGTTATTCATCTCACATCCTCATTCTGAATGTTTGGCGTTAAAGTCACCAAAAATAAAGAAGGGTTTGCTTCGACATTTATTGAATAAATGGAAGGGGGGATCGAACCGGGTGGAACATAAACTGCTCCAATAAGTGTCGATAGAGGTTGAGTTTCAATTTCAATCAATAGGAAATTTACATCACTAGAAACTTCCTTATATTTAATAGATTGGTGTATTAATAAAGCAACACCACCAAAGGAATTTGTTCCTTCTTGTGTTAATACTTGGTAATTGGGAAAAAGAAAATTTTTTCTTAATGCTGTTTTACCTATTTCAGTTAGTACACATATTTGGGGGGAGTAATTGGCTATGATAATGTCCATATCAGCAATATGACTATTAAGGGAATTTACATTATATAATAAAAACAAAATATTCAGTTCATTGTCTGTAGGTTTTGTTTTGGACCAACTTTTGATTAAAAGAGACATACATGTTTTTGAGTTCCACTCTTGTATCATTTCTTTAACTTCATTTTTTTCTGTTTTTGTACCATTAAATGCATTAATAATCTCATCATTGATATACGGCGATGAATACCGAAATGTATTGTTAGTCATTGTTGATTATTAGATGTTGAGCAGCGTCCATTATTCTCGTTGTAATATCTTCAATTAATGGAGTATAAGCAGAAAAAATTTTATTAATTGTTGCTTGACGTTCATCAAATGGAATTGTTGTTAATTGTTCGATCATCTTGGTATATTGTTGATCACCAGATTTAGTCATCATTAAGCATATTGCTTGATTTGAAATTTTAATAATATCTAAACATTCATTTAATGATGCTTTTAGTACATACATCATTTCATTTTGACGTTGTATTGTTGATGAGAAGCAATTCATCATTGATTGTATTTGATTTAAACATGAATTAATTTTTGTTTTAATAGCATTATGTTTTTTATCATAATTTTGTTTAGCTTCATAACATTCCTGTTCGAATCTATTTAAGTGAACCTGAAGATTAATTGTATCATCTAAATAACCTTTAGAATATTTTGAATAAGATAATGTATCATGTACAGCAGGTGGTAGTAACGGCCATTCATTAATATTATTATTGTTTTTCATCCTGTATTGTTTAACATCATGATATTTATCATTTTGAAGATTTTTACTCAAAAAATTTTGTTTGTATTGACGAAAATGTGAAGGAATAAATATTTGAGCGTTGTCAGGTAAATATTCAGGATGTTGCTGTAAATGTTGGATCAGTTGTTCACGAAAACCTTGAACTAATGAACATCTAAAATCTGTAGAGACGTGACTACCACCACAGTTATGGCAGTTGATTAAACATTCCTTATGTTCACCTTCTTTTCTATTCTTATCACATCTTTTACATCTTTCAAATGTGAAATCACATTGTTTTCTTGTATGACCGGGAATGTTGCATCTGGAGCAAAATAGAACTTTTGGTGCTGCTAAATATTCATGTACGTGGAAGCATTGACCATCAAAAGAAATAATACCAGAATTGAGAATTTGATTATATTCAGAAGAGTTCAAAAAATCAATGCGTACATATCTTGTTTTGCCGTTATTAGTACCTATAATTTCATCAATGTAATATATCGATTTGAATTTGTTATTAATGTCAATTTTAATATCTTCAATAGTTAAAAAATTCGGTACACCTTTAATAAGTCATACTATGGGTTATTTAATTTCATTCTGAATTTAAACAGAAAAAAG